CTGGCTAGAGAATTGCGAGCGCGACTTGCAGCCGAGGAGCAACAGGAGCGTGGAGCGCATGAGGAAGCCCAGGCACGGCTAGTGCATGATGAGCAGAGAGCAGCAGAGTCGAGTGGGCCTGAGCTCGTTCCAGACCCAATGACGACCATTAGTAGATTTCACCCCCGCCTTGCTTCCAACCAGTTTTAGACAATTGAATGATTTTCACAGGAACAGGTTAGATCTAGTCAAGTCAGCTTTGTTGTTGCCAGTTCTGCATGGCGTGGACAAGGTTTTGGGGTGAGCTATGACGAACTTCCCACAAAGTCTAGATTTTAATGTCGAAAACCAATGAAACATGTTTCGTGAACAGCTTTTATGGCTCTAGCCATTCTGGCACCAGGCCATGGCCATGATCAAAGATCTCGTGGCCAAAATGCGAGGCGTGTAGTTTTACCCTCGCTTGTCCAAGATAGGTTGCGGGAATGTGGCCTGGAAAAGGTAGATTTGACGGCCCCAAAGCCACTGCATGCTGGAACTGTGGATTGCTGGGGCATAGTCAAGGTCGGATCAGGCCAGGCAAGCAGCGGACCTCTCACCGCTTGGACCGAGGAGGAGCAAAAGAGACAAAAGAAGCGGAAAACCCGCATCCAGAAAAGAAGGCCGAGACAGCGCAAACATTAGATGGAGATACAAAAGAGACAAAAGAAGCGGAAACCCCGCATCAAGAAGAGAAGGCCAATAAAGCAGAGAAATTAGATGGAGACGCAAAAAAGGAACCAGAGGCCAAGGCCGATCCAGAGGTGTTGAATGCCATGCCCAAGTCTGAGTCTCGCAAGACAGATTTGGAGAAGGAAAAAAAGTTGGCCAACCCCAAGACCAAGTCTGAGAAGGCACTTTTGGAGCAGGAAGCAGCTAAACAAAGGTTGGTCATTGAAGAAAACCGCAAGATTGCCCAAGAGAAAAAAGCAGAAAAAGCGAAAGCCGAACCAAAGGCCTCCAACGCAAGGGAACAGAAAAAAACACAAGAGAAAGCCAGTGCAAAAACAAAGGTCAAGCCACAGGGCAAAGCGAAGAAATGATTGATGTGTTCTAGCGGGTGTTTCCGCGGAGCAATGGCAACGGTGCCACAAGCGGGAAAGTTCAGCGGGCAGCCCCGCCTCTGTTTCTTCAGCGTAGCCTATAATGTTTACTTTCTTCGCTGGGCTGCAAAAAGGTGACCCGTGCCGCTCTATGTTCAACCCCCACACTGGGTCACCATCCCGAATTAGCATCTTAGACATAGACCCGAACAAGATAGGACATAAACACGCATTCTGTGACGCGACTGACTTCTTGCGTGTACCTGTTTTGGTATGCCGTGCATATAATGCCTTGCGTTTGTCTGCGGTTCTTATTTCTAATTCCTTTTTTGGACATGGAAGCGATATAATCATCGAGCCGATGAAAAAGCTGCTGAATCAACCCCACCTGGACATGAAAAAATGCTGGGCCAAGAAAAGGCATGTGAGTGGCTCTAGTTCTGCAAACCACCTAGATGTAGTAAAGTTTTAAGGTTTGAGCGAAATGTTAGAGCTCGTGCAACAGGCTCCGAGGGTGTAGGCTCTGAAGGTGCACGCTCCGAAGGAGGGCGGTCTGATCCGCCAGGGCTGCTGCCAGGAGGATCATCGTCAGGTCCTCCGCCACCTCGGCGCCGTCTGCGCCGTCTCGACGAAGGTGTGGGTGCCGTCGGAGGAGGTTGGGGCGTCGTCGGAGAAGACGTTGTAGGTCCATGCGGATCACGTTGAGGTTGCTCAGAACGTGGTCCTCTCTGGATGCTCGGTGCGGGCGTCACCGTCATCGCAGGGTCATGAGTAGCTGCTTCACTTTCAGCCTTCTCTTGAAAGCCATCAGGTCCGCAGGACCAGGAGGGGGTAGATGACCTGGTGCTTGATGGAGTCGTGGATCACCTTGGACAAAACAGGGATGAAGGAACATCGGAACTCCTGCTGTCTGGCGCGGGCCGCCGTCACCTTGAGGTAATCCAGCTCCGGGTACATGGACTTGCTGACAAGGTCGTTGGGCATGAGGATGTTGTCCAGGCTGCAACATCGGAGGCCAAGCCGCAGGCCATGTACTCACTGGTGTCATCCAACCTGGAGCGACGTGGTAGTTGGGCTCAGGTGAATTCCAAGGGCCGCTGGAACGTTGAGGGCCTGCCGCTCAGGGCCAAGAGGCACGAACGAGTTCGAGCCACATGCAATGCAGCGCCACTGTCCAAGCTCATCGCTCCATTCGAACTCCTCTGACTCGCAGCGGGCGCACATCCAGTCGTCGCCGTCAAGGCGGTAGTGGGACGCCGTAGGGCTTGAGGAGGTCGAAGAACGAGGTGGCGTCGCCACCAGGGAAGGGCGCCAAGCCGCCCCAGCAACAGCCGGCAGGGCTGCATCAACCAACGGTCGATCCGCAAGGTCGTGACCGTTGGGCTGCAAGCGCGGCACAAGCGGCATGGGCGGCGCGGTCGAGCGACAGGGAGCAAAGGCTCCGCTGCCAACTAGGCAGAACGCGTGCGAATGCGAGCTGCGGCCATTTTGCAAATGGCTTGAAGTGGCAAAAGGTGCACCTGCGGTCCGAAAAACAGGCTTCACGAAGCAAGGTCATGTCGCTCCCAGATTCTCAGGTTGTTTATTGTTTGTTCACGGATCACTAATCACTGTGATGGGACACTCCTATCGGTTGGTGAGCCTGCGCAAGTCATCGTCATTGCGTAGCACAAAGTCCCTGGCGCAACAGGAGCAGCATTCTATGCCGGATGTTTTCAGCAGCATTCTGGACAAGTCTTGGTGGGTGAAATATGGGTGAGCAGTAATTGTGCAGCAAACAAGGGTTGTCCAGCTCGCTTCAAGCTAGAATTGACTCAGTAAAGAGCCAAAAACTGGCAGGCATGACGGTGGTGCCGAACTCTTACTGCTTTTCGGGCATTCTGCTTTTGCTTCAAGGCCCAACGGCCTTCCACAAGTCGTGATGCCATGATGCTAGTCCCATGCTCAACCAAGTGCAATAAGCTTGAATCATCCAGAAGAAGCGGAACTTCAAAGACACACAATCATTATGAACAAGTCGATCTAGCTCGATATCCAAAGGAGCTCAAAGCTATCTTAGTTTCCTATCACCTTCTGTTCTGCATTTGAGAGAATTGAACATATTGTTGATGTAAGGTATGTATGAACTGCATGTTCAGCATCGTAAACCACGTGAATAGAATGGTTCAAGCAATTCTACAAACTCAAACAACTGAACAAAAAAGGACTGAAATAGCATCAAGTAGACGAACGATTGAAAACCATTGACTGAGGTGTGAACGTGGGCGAAGTGAAGAGCGATGCTAAACTTTGGGACGATTGCGAGGTGGGGCGGTACCTATGAATATCAGTCTTCTATTCAAAAGGCAGCATGCCCTCACACCAAGCGTTTTCAACCCATTTGCTTGAAGCTATGCTTTTGGCAAGGGAGAACTGGCATGACAACAACATGCGCCTCAGAAACATGTTGTGCACAATTCAGAACTGTTCTAGTTGGACCATCTATGACAAATTACCCCAGAGGGAGCTGGGCAAGCGAGTGAGAAGGTGCTGCGAGTGCCTCCCACAAGTCTACGCACTTCGAAGCAGATTTTGTGTTTATGTGCTTGTGCGACTTTCAGGTTGTGCTTGACTAGTTGTTGACATCAATTTAAGAATCTTCAAGGCGTGCAATCCTGCAAATGACAAATTAAGCAATGTTAAATCTGAAACTCGAGACAAAACAGGACAAGACAAGGAACGTCCGCATCTCGGCCTCACTTTTCTGCGAACGTTGCACAGCGTCATCGCTTGGCCTTACTGAAATCCATTCTGCGCTTGGGGATTTTGGGGGATTCGGGTCTAGAACCTCCGACAAAACTCATCTGAAGCGCCTAGTGATGGACACATGGGAGGGCCTGAGAGTTCAAGAAAAAGACTTGAATACTAGACGAACAACCTGAATTAGTCACACCTTGTTGGATATATAAAGGCTTCAAGCACCAGCTGCCTGAATTAGTGTCATCGCACCGTTTTCTGACACGGACATCCTCCTTTGATCAGTTGATTAATGCCAGCCTGACTAAACATATGCAACCACATGAAGAGTACGGGATTGAAACTTCTTGAGACCGAATTGACTAACTGGCTGCTCGACTGGTAGACAGTGACAGGGTGTTCATACACATCATCTTCATGCACAACACGTACGGTCACCAAGGTGACTGCCGGCGTCTAGGCGACTCCAACTTGGACAACTTGGAGCTTTCGGCCAGGACCGCCTGGTGGAGAAATTGCTTTGGGGTGTTGAGAAATGTTGAAGGCAAGGCTCCATCATCTTCACGTCCGTCCCATATTTACATAGCGTTGTCATGTCGACACGTTTGAGACTATAAATGATACAAGTAGCACGGAGGCGAATCATCGCGGAACATGAAGGAATTGAACCTACTTTGTGAGGTTCTGTGAAAAAGAGTTCATTGATCTTGAGATGTTGGGGAAACGCATTGTTGTCAAGAGTCGAACCCCGGTGCCTGCTGCCTGCTCGAGGAACTAACCCGAGGAGAACTCGGCTAGCTACAAAACCCTGTGCCCAACTATCATTACACCTCTTATTCTCTTGTCTGAAGCAATACACATCAATACCAAATGATACACACATGTCCTTCTTGCCTTCAGCTTGTCCAAACCAGTGGATGGAGCCGATGACTTGGGTGGCCTTGGAGCCCGGTGTTGACGTCTCGTCAAAACATGTTAAGTTATAATACTGTCCCCACTGCTTATGACATTTAGAATACCACTGCTTGACAAACAACTGTGGTGTGGTTTGAAAGTTGACAAGGGTGATTCCTCAACCCATGGGTAAGCCCTTCGTTTCCAAAAGGCCACGTGCTGCTACGGGACAAATCGAGCTACACATGACTACGCACTTTCAGTACCCGAGAACACAAAATAAAACGCCAAAGCGTTGGCAAACTTGTCACTTGTCATCTGAATCACACGCATCAAACCCAAACACCCAAAGCGGAGAATTCTGAGGCTTGTGGCTCTTTGTCCCCCAAATTTCGACCGCTGATCGCCCGGGGTGGTGGGGTCACCTGCTCCTGTGCTTCGACTCGGTTCAAGTCTGGATGGTTTGAACTGATTCCATCCATATTCAATCCATATCCAATCAGTTCAAAACAAAAGCGCCAATTCTTGTTGTTCCAACAACAATATTGTTGGTCCTGTGCCCTCAGCGTCATTCTTGGCTTTTCTCGTTCTCGTCGATCTTCATTCTCTGGCGGAAGACTTGTACTTCTTGGCTCTGCAGAACTGACCTTGCTGCCGATCAAGACTAGCTACATCATGCTACATCCTGCAGGTTTGTTTGGTTTGTTTTCACATTACCAAATCTTGGCAACAATGGAGGAACATGCAGCTCTCTCTAGGAACATTAAACGCTGCCCTGGTTTTCAATGCGTGTGAGCCATTGCACGATCTGACATTAAGCCTGTGCTGCTGTACGTGGCCGCTAGTGTATGGACGTTTGTGTTTTGTTGGTCTGTGGTGCTCACCCGTTGGTTGCCAGGTCGATCAGATTCCGAGGAGGACTTGTCCGTCCGCATCAATCTTGACATAGCACTGTCCACCTGTAGCAATTATCAAACACTCTAGACTCTCTAAGTTTCTCTAAACATCTAGGAATCAGGAACCAAATCAATCATAAGAGAGGCCCTGGCTTTCCCCACGCCTAGTAGCTGCTTAAACTTACTAGCTACTTGTTAGCAACCCACTCAAACAAAGTTGCCGAAAGATGCCGAAAGGAGAAACAACTTCAAAAAACTATTAAGGGTTCCTGGCCGGAACAAGAAACTACTAGGGGCTCCTGGCATCGCTACTAGGAGCAAGGACGCTACTAAGGGCTCCTGGTGGTGAGCCTTCTGCTTCAAGGACCGTCTGGCTTCATCTAAGAGGTCTTCAAAGCGGCTCGGCGGGGCCTCACAGCTGAATCATCAAGGCAGAACACTCAACCAGGTCGTTTCCATTTGGTTCGGTGACCATTCTGAAATCTCCATGCATCTCCCTACTCCAGCGATGCCCTTGTTGCTAGAAGCTTCGTGCCCTAGTAGTAATGCCACGAGCTACTAGTAGCATCCTGGTTCCGATCCGAGTAGCGATGCCCTTTGCTCCTAGTAGCTTGTATGCCCTCACTTACAACATGCACTGAAAATGATGATTGAGGTGTTCTCCATCGAACATTGTACAACAACCGGAACTGAGAAGCGATGGCAGCCGAGAAATTAATGGAGCCGCCTTGCTTCTGGGACTTAACAAACTCTGCATGATTAATTTGCATAGTGGTTGGACTGCCTTCAGACGTGCTTGTCTTCGTACGTATTTCGTGTGTGTGTGTGTCAACCTCTGTAACTAAGAGTTTTGAGTGCAGGGGGACTCTCTACCCCACAGAAGTGACAGTCCAACGAAGAGGCTTCTGTGGCGGT